GTAAGGTTATAATTAATTAATTTTTTAATCATTTAATTAAGTAATGCACTAATGTAGTAAATTACTAATGTTTATAATGTAATGTTATAAATTTAAAATTAATTAAGTAATCATTTAACTATTTAATGTTATAATTAATTAAGTGATTATAATATAATGTAATGTTTTAATTAATTAAGTAATTATTTAACTATAATGTAATGTTTTAATTAATTAAATTTCTAATAATTTAATTAAGTGTTGTACTAATGTTTATAATAGAATGTTATAATTAATTAAGTAATAATTTGTTTATAACGTAATGTTATAATTAATTAAGTAATCATAGTATAAAATTATAGTGTGACGTTACAATTAATTAAATTTCTAATCATTTAATTAAGTATTGTGCTAATGTGGTAAATTACTAATGTTTATAATATAATATCATAATTAATTAAACAATCATTTAATTATATAATGTTATAATTAATTATGTGATCATATTATAATATAATATTATAATGAATTAAGTAATCGTATTATAAATCTTAATGTAATATTATAATTAATTAAATTTCTAATTATTTAAGTAAGCATTGTACTAATGTTTATAATAGAATATTATAATTAATTAAGTAATCATACTATAAATTTATAATATAATATTATAATTAAATAAATTTCTAATCATTTAATTAAATATTGTGCTAATGTCATAAATTACTAATGTTTATAATATAATGTCATAATTAATTAAGTAATTATTTAATTATATAATGTTATAATTAATTATGTGATCATAATGTAATGTTATAATGAATTAAGTAATCATACTATAAATCTTTAATGCAATATTATAATTAATTAAATTTCTAATAATTTAATTAAGTAATAATTTGTTTATAATATAATATTATAATTAATTATGTAATTATACTATAAATCTATAATGTAATGTTATAATTAATTAAATTTATAATTATTTAGTTAAGTAATGTACTAAATTACTAATGTAATGTTATAAACTTATAATTAATTAAGTAATTACTTAACTATAATGTAACGTTATAATTTATTAAATAATCATTTAATTAGTAATATATTAATGTTTATCAATTTATCATATATAGTTAATTAATTACTAATTTACTACAGATATACTTAGAACTTGATAATTGAAGTAAATAACTAAATATTATATTATTATTCAATCAAATATACTATTTTATTAAAAATAATTCTCTTAATAACATTAAAACACTTTTAATTGATTCTAATTCCAATTATGCATTTAATTAATCAAAATTTTAATATTAATATATTAAAGTTTTTTATATGGTATAGTTTATATGTAGAGTAATGCTACAGACACCGAAATTTTATACCGAATTTTTGTATTGAAGGACATGGCAACCAGTCAGACGCGACCACGCTGGAGTCTTTCATGAATGAACGGCCGTCCAACATATATGGACGCCCGCCCATATCTAATGGACTTCCGTTCATATTGTATGGACGAGTGTTTATTTACTATAAGAATGATGCCTGTCCAAAAAATTTTAAAAGAAAAATAATGGATGGACGGGTGTCTATTTACTATGGACACCCATCCAAAATATTTTAAAAAATTTTACATTCAATGGATAGGTGTCCCTTTTAGATGGATGCTTGTCTATTGTTTAATTTAAAAAATTTTACATTCAATTTGGGAGGCCCAAATTTTAGTTTAATAAAAAAAATTCTTTAAAATTTTCAATTAGAATGTTTAAAAATTTAGGCCTCCCAAAACAGGTTTCATTTCTCTCTTGCATTTTGTTTATAAATGAAAAAACAAAATTTAAAATTTAAAAAAAAAAAAAATTGAGAATGGACGCCAATTTTCATTTCTCTCTTGCCTTTTCTTTATAAATGAAAAAAAAATTAAAATTAAAAAAAAATTGAGAATGGACTGGCGTCCATACTTTTATTTAAAATCAATTTTTTTTCTTTTATTTCATTTAAAAATTTTATACTTTAAAAATAAATATTTCATCTGAAATTATATGGACGCTTGTCCATATAATATGGACGACCATCCATAATAAAAGGACTCCCGTCTATAATACATGGATGGGAGTCCATAACTATGGACAGTTATCCTCATAAGAGGACGGGTATCCATAAACAATTTAGGCCAAATTTTTTTAGTTTAAACTATGAACGGTCCATATAATATGGACGGGAGTCCATTTCAAATGAACGACCGTCCAATAATAATGGACGGTCGTCCATATTTGATGGACGGCCGTTCATTCGTGGAATATTTGTTAATTTGTTAACGTAATACGTGGCTCGTCTGATTCAGTGGACACGTCGTTCGGTGTAAAAATTCGGTGCAAAGTGTCGGTATCCGTAGCATTTTTCTTATATGTAATAAGTATAATTTTTTATTTATTTAATTAGGTTATTGTAAAAATTTTAACTTTTTCCGTTTAAAATTTTTTTATATGTAAAATTCTAGACCCCCCATTCTTTACAAATATTTCATTTCAGCTCAGGTTCCAAAACAAGTTCCAAACCGGGTACCCGCTACAGGTTCTTTTTTTTAGGTTCCGGTTTCGGTTCTAGTTCCTCCACATGTAGGAATCGGAACTAGAACCGCACAGTATTGGTTCAAAAAAAATGAAATCGGAACCTACCTGCACAGTGTCGATTTTGGGTAGGTTCCGATTCTACCCGCTACCTGTGCTCACTAGTAGAGCCCAATGTCGATTTTGGATAGGTTCTGATTCTACCCGCTACCCGTGCTCACCCGTAGGGCCCAAATCTCTCTCTCTCTCTCTCTCTCTCTCTCTCTCTCTCTCTCTCTCTCTCTCTCTCTCTCTATATATATATATATATATATATATATATATTAGTTTATTTTTAACTTTTTGACTTTTCTGACTCTCTTTCTCTCATTTTCTCCATTTTGCTTTCGCATCTGCTTTTGCAAGTAATTCTATGAAGAGTAATGCTATAATTACTGAAAAGAGTGCACTGAATTCATGCACCGAATGACGTGGCACAATTTTGATCGTCGATTAATTATGAGTTAATATTAATCGACAATCAGGATTGTGCCACGTCATTCGATGCATGAATTTAGTGCGCTCTTTCTGGTAACTGTATTATTTTCCTTCTATGAACATCCCATCTCCATCTTTCGCTACTAATAGTATCTCTTCTTCTTCATCTTTCATTTTCTTCTCCTCTCAGTCTCATCACACCACAAAAGCAACATAACTTTATCTCATTTACCCACCTCCAAGGTACTCCCACTACTCCTCTTTTCTTCTTTCTTCATTTTTAAGCTGCTTAGCTTTGTCTTCTATGTGGGTGGTTCCTCCGAATTTCCAAAGTATAACATATGATAAAACAACGAAGCAAAAGACACAAACACCACTGTTTTTTTTCTTTTTTCTTTTTATTTGATTTCTTAAAGTTTATATTTTTAACGGAATTGTTGTAACAACAGGTTTCAGTGAGCTCAACTCAGTGAGATAAAGTTATTATTATGTTTTAAATTTTGAAATTTGATGGATGATTACGTAATGTTTACTTGATCTCTGTTATCTTTACTTTGATGTTTTATTTGATTTGGCTTTGACAAAATCCCCGTACGCCGTTGGGATTTTTCCCGGGGCAGGGATGGGAAATGTGATCCCCGGTGCGCCCATATAAGTTATAATAATCTACTCATTGAAGTTCATCAATAAAATTATCAATTTCCCACTGAAGTGTAATTAATTATACGTTTGCATTTTAAAATTAAAGATTTTTTAGTAATGTATAACACTTTTATTTCCAAAATTTTATTGATTTGCTAAAATGAATATTGCAAATTCAAAATGGTAGCTGATAATTGGTTTTTGATGAATTCAATGGATAGAGAAATTTATCAAAAATCAATTATTAACTATCATGTTAGATTTGTTAAAAAAAATTTACGAGAATTGTTGTCACGTACTATTACCCAACTTTTTAACTATCACAAGCAAATGTAATCTGTGACTAGCGAGAATTTAAGTCCACAGACTCCACACCGGAGAATTTTTATTTTTATAAGCAAACGTCCTATGAGCTATTAATGTCATTGTGAATTTTTCAACATACACTTTTTTAAATAGAAAATGCTTTAATCTATTCGTATAAATTGAAAATGAATCTCATGCAATTTCATCCAAAATGCTTGCCATACTTTTGACAATATACGTAAGTATGATCTTGCAGTTTTTTATTTTTTAAATTTATGTAATTTGTTACTGCCCTTCTTAAATAAAAATTGGTTGCTCCGCCACTGTTCCAAAATCTAGTTTCCTCCTTCACCATGAACTTAATTACTTTTAGATGAAATATTATTTTATTGATCACCCTTTCCTGAAAATTTGTTTCCTTCCGTAGGGAGAAATTACTCAAATCTTCACATCTGTAGAATATTTGTTTAATTATTTTTACATTTTTATTGGTATGACATGTTTCTATATTTTCTTTTGTAATTCTTAAGGTTTAAGTTACATATGGGTCGATCTTTCAGGGGAAAAAGGAGCACTATGCAGCTTTTTCCAGAAAAAGTAAGAAGGCTTTGGAACGGATGGGAAATTCAGGTGCTAGTCTTACTTAGCCTTTCTCTGCAATTCATCCTCATTCTACTTGGTTCGCGGAGAAAATACATTGCAAGAAGTTGGATAAGTATCGTTGTGTGGTCAACATATTTAATGGCAGATTATGTCGCCAGTGTTGCCTTGGGAAACCTTGCCATCAGGCAAGGAGGTTATTTTAAACGTAATCTTCCAAAATCAAGCCAGGAACTCCAGGCATTTTGGGCGCCATTCCTACTATTGCATCTCGGTGGTCCAGATACCATTACAGCGTACTCTCTGGAAGACAATGAGTTATGGTTGAGGCACTTTCTTGGACTTTTTGTTCAAGTTGGAGTGGCACTTTATGTCTTCTTCCAGTTTTGGAGCAATAGTGCTCTCTCATATTTAGCCATTCCAATGTTTATTACTGGAATTATTAAATATGGGGAGAGAGTTTTTCTACTATGGTCGTCAAGCATCGAGCGTTTCAAAGATAATTGGCTCTCAGATCATCATCCCATTCCATATTTCGCTCAAATCACGCGGGAAACATTGAACGAACACAAAAATGAACAAGGCAAGGGCAAATGTCAACTCCTTGAAGTTGTTTTTTTGTTCAACATATTTGCACGTTTATTTGCTGGCAACATTTTCAACATCAGAACAGTCAAGGACAGGATCCTTGAAGGAAAATCCGCAGAAAATGCTTTCAACGTGGTGGCAATGGAGCTTGGACTCATGTACGATTTGCTCTACACCAAGGCAACCATTATCTATTCTCGATTTGGAGCTTTTCTTCGTTGCATTAGCTTGTTTTGCTCTGTTTCTACATTGGCTTTCTTCTCAGTGTTCGTGAATCTTCATGCTTACTCTCAGATCGAAATCTCCATAACTTACATATTGTTAGTTGGAGCTGTTGTTCTGGAGGTTTATGCTATTATTCTTCATTTTTTCTCTGATTGGACAAAACTAATTTGTTTGATCAAAACTAAAAATTCAAGGCCTAATTGCTTCAATACTACTATATCTCCTCATTCACTTCTCCACAATCAGAAGAGGTGGTCAGAATCCATGGGACAATTCAACCTTATAAGTTTTTGCCTCAAAGACATGTCCGCGGCATGTATTAAAGTTGAGAAGTTATTTCGCATCAGCATATTTCTAGGGAAGTACTGGTACTTGACGTGGGCACATGTAGATCTTGATATGAAGGAAATGATCTTGAATTATATATTAAACAAAGCTCATCAACAGGATGACTTCTTGTTTAAGGGAGCAAGTTCAGATATCTTTCAACCGGGTCTAGAACCTTCGATCCCAGTATATGAAGTGGCATTAGCTGCAGGAGCTGAAAAGACTTTTCGTTTAAGTGCCCCAGTACATGAAATAGCAGTAGCTGCAAGAGGTGATAATGTACTTAATAGAAGCGAAAGGCTAAAGGATTTTCTCTGGACCATACATAACGTTGAGTTTGACCACAGCCTTATCATTTGGCACATTGCTACTGATATTTCTTATTACAATGATTTTGGTAACTCTCCTCTCAAATGCAAATTAATTAGCAAGAACATATCAGATTACATGTTGTATCTTCTAATCCTATGTTCATCTATGATGCCCAAAGTGTTGGAGTTGTCGACTACTTCAGCATTAATGGGTAACGGAGACGCACTCGGGGGTCCCGCTGACCGGTCAGCGGGTGGGTGCCCCGCTCCCCGGTGAGCGGGCGGGGGTCGCGGGGGCAGCGCCCCCGAGCCCGTAGGCGGTTTTGGGCTTTTCCATGTATAACCGCTGTAGGATTCCTTTTAAGTTATTAATTCCTTTTTGGGTTGGGCTTAGGAATAGGAATTCTTGTAAAACTAGGTTTAATCCCTTAAACCTAGTATATAAACATACTTTTCTCTTGTTATGTGTGTGAGAACAATTCATTCATTGTAAACGAGAGAAGTGAGGCATATTGCAATAATATTGACTCAGCTGGACGTAGCCTACATTGGGTGAACCAGGGTAAATCGCGCGTATTACTTTCTTTGTTTACTGTTTGTTTTGTTTAACTATTATTATTTTGTTCCTGTTGCTTCTCTATTTCGTTCACAAAGGACGTGGTGAGTTGAAGTTCAGAGAAACCTCTGAGAAGGCCAAAAGTATCTTCAAGTCAAAAAGGAACATGTTTTGTAATGATAATGGAAAAATTAGAGCTTGTCAGGTTTTGCTTCAAGAAGATGTCCATCATATAGATGAAGTAAATGCAGATCTATCAGCATTGCTCGACGGATGTAAGCTCGGGAAGGCATTACAAAAGCTGGAATATAAAGAAAAGTGGGATGTAATAAGACAAGTGTGGGTGGAAATGTTGACATTTGCTGCAGCTAGGTGTGAATGGAAAGAACATGGAAAACGACTTAAAAAAGGTGGAGAGCTGCCCACTCATGTTTCCCTTCTTTTGGCACATTTTGGTTTAGGTAAACAATTTCGCCTTTATGGGAAGCCTCATCCATAGACATATTTTTTTTTTGGGTGAAATTTGAATAAAATCGAAATATCCTTGTAATAGTTGTATAATTGCTAACTGACTTACTAACATGTCTAACAAAATTATAACAGTTGCTACTTATCTTATTGCTATTGACAATAATGGTGAAGAGGACAAAGGGACAGAGAAAGGAAGCACTGCAGTTTAGCTTGGCCTTCGCAAATACAGAATAATAATTCAGTTTTGATTTGAAAAAATAGTTAAACTCGTTTCAGTTAGTTTTCGATTAGTCTCCGTTACAAATTTCTGTTAAGCTCATCAAATGAGAGCAATGGTGTTTATTTACATGGCATTTTCACAAGGATTGCCAACCTGGCATCTCATTTGTATATAAACAAGTTGAAGCTGCTCTAGTTATATATTTGTTGAGAAAACAAATGCTTAATTCTTATGACTATATTGTTGTGTATATGTATATGTAAATGTTAATATATATGTTATATTATCGATAGATAAAATCAAGAAATATTTAATTTTAAAGAATTTATATATATTCTTGTAAATAAAAATTTTGGATCCAAAAATAAAAAGAGTAAAACCATAATTATACAAATCTTTTCATAGTTAATAAAGAGTAAAAAATACATTGCAATCCACTCCTTGTTAAAACAATTAACCAACCATCTCATCAAAAATAAAAGATAAAATGAGTTGAATTGATAATACGCGAGGCAAACATAACAGTATAGCAGTGGGATGTTTGTGGCTGGGGACACAGGGAAGGCCCAGCCAGGCCCATTAGCTTCCTCTCTAACTCCAACTTAGTGGATCTTCGTTAATTTTAAAATATAAAGAACACAATTTTTATTTAAATCTAATAAACTATTTAAATTTAATAAAGATATTCTTTATTTTTAAGAAAGAGACTTAATAGGAAAAATAATTAATAAATAAAATGCATAGAAATATGATAAAGAGTAAAATTTGACTTTCTAAATGTGAATAGTCAAACTTATTCTCTAATTTATATTTTAAAGATAAAAAATTTATTAGACTCTTATTTTTATAGACAAACTCTTTATAGAATTTGGTCATATAAAGAGATTTTTAGAGATGCTCTTAAAATCTATATAATAAAGTAGAGAAACATGAAAAAGCTAAAAGGAAAAGAAAGTAGAAAACATGAAAAAGCTAAAAGGAAAAGAAAGTAGAAGACTTGGAGTCTTGCTTTCACATCTGCTTTTGCAAATAATGCTATGGCCCATCCCATCTCCATCTTTTGCTACTAATAGTATCTCTTCTTCTTCGTCTTCTCCTCTCGGTCTCATCACAAACCCAACATAACTTTTATCTCATTTACCCACCTCCAAGGTACTCCCATTACTGCACTTTTCTTCTTTCTTTCATTTTTAAGCTGCTTAGTTTTGTCTTCTATGTGAGTGCTTCCTCTGAATTCTGTAAGTACAACATAGAACAACAAAACAAAAGACACAAACACCACTGTTTTTTTATTTTTTATTATTTGATTTCTTAAAATTTATATTTTTAACGGAATTGTTGTAACAACAGGTTTCAGTGAACTCAACTCATTGAGATAAAGTTATTATTATTATGTTTTAAAATTTGAAATTTGATGGATTATTACGTAATGTTTACTTGATCTCTTGCTGTTATCTTTACTTTGATGTTTTATTTGAATTTGCTTTAAAAAAATCTCTGTACACCATGGGATTTTTTCCCGCAAAATGGCCGTAGTCTGGGCAGGGACGGGGATTTCCTATCATCCCCGTAGCAGGGATGGGGCGGGGATCCCCTAGGAGGGCGAGGACGGGGAATGGGATCCCCATGTGCATCGTGCAGGTTAGCTGTGACCTCGAGGTGTGATCTCGAGCTGTTGAGCTACGACCTCTATTGTTGAAGTGGTCGTCAACTCTAACAATCTATCACTTGGCAAGTACGATTCACACAATGTAGACCAACCTCAACAACACACCATGTGAACTTTGCCAAGTTTACAACTATGGTTTGTGTTGTGCCTAAAAAGTCACACTGATGTCAGTTCAACAAGTGCCTAAAAGACAAAATGTATTAGCTGTCAAGCCCATACCGTCTTAGAGATATTTTATCCCAACCCTATCTCATTTTAAGATAAGGACGAATAAGAGCTCTGCATGTGTCAAGGCAACTTGCAAAAACACTAATTACATTGATCTCAAAGGTGTATAAATGGACACTTCTCTTTGTAAAAGGAGAGGCTGGGCATATGAGAGCTAAACATAGATTTGAACTTTATTATTTTTCTCTGTAAACAAAGTTTCTCTCTATCTTTGTATGCCTTACGGACAATATCATAGAAATAGTCAGAGAATAGCAAAATAACAGTGGATGTAGGATTCGCTTTAAGTATCTGAACTACTTTAAAAACCTCTCTTGCCAATCTTTTATTTATGTTTCTGCAACATATATAATCTCAGCACCATATTCAAATCTCATGAATCCATCACGTATAATTTCTAAGATACTCTTAGCACTTTGCATGTGTGAGTCGTTGGTGTCAAAATCAAGCATCAACAGTTTGGTGGCCCATACAGGTCTCGAACTTGCGTCCAAGCTCCTCGATGGCATGGTCAAATCGCAGATCGCACGCATCTGAGTTCCCTAATGGCGTGGTTAGATTATAGATCACATGCATAAGAGTTCTCGGATCGCGTGGTCAGATCGTAGATCGCATGCATTAGAGCTCTCGGATCACGTGGCTAGATTGCAGATTGCACGTATCAGAGTTCTCGGATCGCGTGGCCAGATCGCACACATTAGAATCCTCAGATCGCGTGGCCAAATCGCAAATCGCACGCATTAGAGTTCTCGGATCGCATGGTCAGATCGCAGATCACACGCATCAGAGCTCTTCAATCATGTGGCCAAATCACAGATCGCATGCATCAGAGTTCTCAGATCGCGTGGCCAGATCGCAGATCACACGCTCAGATCATCTAGATCGCGCGATTAAGATTGTTGAGATCACGTGTTCAGATAATTTAGATCATGCTTTCGAGCGCTTAGATCGCTAATCTCGAGTTCTCAGATCAAGCTCCGCGCTTTCTGATTGAACTTCTTGTCAGATCAAGCTTCGCGCTTTCTGATCGAACTCCTTCTATTTTCTGATTGAACTCCTTAAACTTTTAGATCGCAAAGAGCTCTCAAGCTCTCAAATCATAAAGAGCTCTCAAGCTCTCAAATCATAAAGAGCTCTCAAGCTCTTAAATCGTAAAGAGCTCTCGAGTTCTTAGCTCGAGCTCCTCACGATCTCAGAACGAGCTTCTTACGATCTCAGATCGAGCTCTTTATGCTTTCTGATCGAGTTCCTTATGCTCTCTAATTGAGCTCATAAGCTCGCTCGTTTATTTGAGATCGTGTGCATCAGATNTCTTTTTATTTGATTTCTTAAAGTTTATATTTTAAACGGAATTTTTGTAACAACAGGTTTCAGTGAACTCAACTCAGTGAGATAATTATTATGTTTTAAATTTTGAAATTTGGTGGATTATTACCTAATGTTTACTTGATCTCTTGTTGTTATCTTTACTTTGATGCTTTATTTGAATTTGCTTTGGCAAACTTCGCATTTAATTGCTCAATTTCAAGATTATAAGCATCAACTATAGAGAGAACAAACCTGATTGATGTTAATTTGGTCACAGGTGAAAAAATCTCACCATAATCAACACGCTCAATTTGCAAGTATCCCTTTGTAACGAGTCTCGTCTTGTATTTTGCAATTGTTTCATCTGCCTGCAACTTCCTTTTGAACACTCATTTGCATCCAAGTGTCTTTCCATCCTTAGTAATTTACAGAGGACCCATGTTTTATTTTTATCAAGTGATTGCATCTCCTCATTCATCGCAAGCTCCCACAGATTTGCATCCTCCATGGCTCTTGTTTCATTCACGTTCCTAGGTTCATCACCAATCACATTTAGTGCATACAATCCACTTAGGGCACTAAGAGAGTAACGAATTGGTGCCCTCCTAGCTTGTGTAGATATCCTTAGAGTTAGTGGCGCCACAACTTCTTCATCAGAATCACCCTCTAATCTATCTAGAGAGCCCTCATTTACTATTACTATCAAATTGATATTCATGATCAGATTTTTTAGATTCTAAGTCTATAGTTTCTACAACTACAACAACATTAGGAATTGTCTCCTCCTCTTACTCCACTGCAGTAACATCAAATTGCACTTTCTTGGACTGTTTTAGATCTTCAAGGAGCTCCCACACATTGTTGTGTCTCTCTAAATATAACATATCTACTATAGATAATGCTTCTACTCATAGGATTCCACAATTTGTAGCCCTTGATGCCCTCTTTAAAACCCACAAACTTACACTTTTTAGAAGTGCTGTCAAGTTTGCTTCTCTTCTCTTTAGGAACATTAACATACGTGTCACACATAAAAACACGAATATGGGACATATTTGGTTTTCTTCCATACAAAGCTTCATACGCAATCATGTCTTTAACAGAGGAAGTGAGAGAACGCTTCTTCAAATAGCATGCCATTGCTGTATCGTCTGCCCAAATTTCGAACCCCAAATCTGTTGCATTCAACATATACCTCACCTTGTCTAAAAGTGACCGATTGAGACGTTCAATCACCCCATTCTACTGAGGCGTGTATGGTGTAATCTTCTGCCTTGCAATCCCATGTGTCGCATAAAACTACTCAAATTTTTTAGAACAAAATTCACCACCATTAACAGTTTGCAATACCTTGATTTTCCTGTCAAACTGATTTTCAACTAATCCTGATTTTCAGCCATCGATAGTTCTCCTATAGGTGTCTTTGAAGTTTGGTCACAGACGTAGTTGACGTTGTTGCTGTTGTCGCAGACGTCTCACTCGCAGTAGCAGCGACTGTCCCAATTGTCGCCCTCTCATTCACAATAGCACCCCACATATCCCTATCAACAAGAAGATCTTCCACCGATAATTTCCAAAGCTCGAAGCGTTTGCCGTTGAACTTTTCGATTTCAACTTTTGATCCTATCATCTTTAATTCGAAAAATCACAAATTTTTTTGGCTATGATACCAATTGAAAGAACTAAAGAATGTTTGGAACAAAGAAACAAATAACCACACAAAAATATCTAACTAGTAAATAGAAAGAAAAACATGAGTGATTTATCCTAGTTTACCCAAATCCAGGCTACGTCCAGCAGAGTCAATATTATTGAAATATTTTCTTACCTCTCTCGTTACAATGAATGTATTTGCTATGACTTGCCATGTCACTCAACAAGAGAATAATGTCTTACCTAATACAACTAAGATTTTTATTCCTAAGCCCAACCCTATTAGGAGTTCTAATCCTTAGAGAATTCTACAGCGGCTATACATGGTATAAACCCATGTGCGTCATGCAAACTAGCTGTGACCCCAAACTGTGACCTCAAGGTGCGACCAGCTGCCAAGCTACGACCTTGAGTTGCGACCTCAAGCTATCGAGCTACGACCTAGAGCTGCGACCTCTATTGTTGAAGTGGTCGCTAACTCCAACAATAGTTAAGTAAATTTGCATGTGAAAGTTTGCTTAACTTTTGTCTTTTAGAAATAAAATTACAAAATTTCACAAACTCTTATTCATTTTTGTATGCAAGACTTGACTCTTACTAACGAGAGTTTAAGTCCACACCAAACATTTTTATGTATACGTATACTTCTCTCTCCTATGAACGCCATGGTTTTTTTAATCCAAATTGAACTCTTGCATGCGACAAAAAAAGATAAAATTCTGTGAATGAGAGTTAACTCTCGCATGCAATAGATCAGGTTCGAATTTTAGGTCTAACCCAAAGAATTCTTATGCATGTGAAGGTAGTTAACTCATGTATTCTTTACTCAACTTCATTAGCAGAACTTTTTTCTTTCATTTGTTATGCTTACTCTTTTCTTTTTCGAAACATACTACTTGTTAATCACTATTTTCTGATCTTCTCCATTTTCTCTGTTTTGGCATTTCTAAAAGGAACATGATAGTGTGAATAAAGATACCTTATACATTTTTCAATGAAAAAAATGTAAAAGTAGAAATGGAAATCAATGGGTTTAGGAGTGGAGCAGGAAATTGATTTTGGGGGACCAAAGGTAATGTTCAATGAATATAAGGGGCTAAAATTATAAATAAATTTACAAAGTTGCATTTAAGGGGGTCAAAGTGTCAGATTCAACGAATAATAGATTTTAGTGATGAAATTTTAGTATTTGTATGTAAATTTTAAATAACGCATGTCTATGACCGTTGAATAAGGGATTTAGGTCTGCCTCTAGGAATTTTCATAGATGCATCATGCATATGATGTAGTTTTCTTTGTTTCATTAATTTTGAATTTTCATTTGCCTTTGTAGTTTTACTCTATTTGGAATTAATCAAGTGACAATTACTCAGCTGTTATTGGAAGAAAAGAAGTTCAAAGATACGCAGAAGAAATAGATCAGTGACTGGTAATAAAAATTCTCTCTTCTAGTAATTTATGGTGTACTTATTTATATAAATGCAAGACATGTTCTTTATTATAACTTAAGATTATGATGACTATTAGTGTTTCTTCCAGCTCTGAGTTTATGACTTTTATTTTACATGGTAAATTAAATGCATCGAATTTCTAAAATGGATGGAAACCAATTAAAATAAAATAAAATAAATATCAAAATCACATTTCTATATTTCATGAGCAAAACATTTTAAAACAATCTTAAGGCATGTCAGATATGTTTAGTAGTGCTGAAAGAACAATAAATATTATTTACAGTCACATTATGCAGAAACAAAGAGCTAGTTTCTATAATACAATTCTAATCAACACATGTATTTTTTGTTATTTGCAAAATTAGTTTCCTTTCTTACTGTAAACTAACTAGGGGTGTTCAAAAGAACCGGTTAGAATCGGAACCGGCGGGTACCCTGGGTTTGGTTCCGGTTCCTACTTAGAACCAGTCGTCAATGCGTAGGTTCCTGTTCCAAATTTTTGGAACCGTTACTGTGCGGTTCCGGTTCCGGTTCTTATAGTTAGGAACCAGAACTGGAACCAGGAACCAGGAACCGAGACTAATATAAAATAAAATTAAAGATTAGGGGAGTTAATATAAACTTTTGTAGAAAAAGTAATGTGAATACATTTATATTTATATTTCATCACATTTAAAGTAAGTTGGTTTGACTTTTGAGAATCTACCTTTACAAAGTAATGGAGTTTGTAATTTTGAATTTATAATTTGTAATTTTATTTTTGTTAACAAGTGTCACGTGGGGGGGTATTTGTAAGTTTTTAAAGGTTTTTTTGCCATTTTAAAAACTTTTGGGGGGTCATGTAATTTTACAGGGTACCCAGAATCGGAACCGGAACCGTTGTTACAGGTTCTGGTTCTAGGTACATAGGAACTGGAACCGTCGGTTTCGGTTCTGGTTCCAAATTTCAAGGAACCGTCGGTTCCGGTTCCTTCAAAAAGTGTAGGGTACCCGGAACCGAACACCCCTAAAACTAACGCATTTTTTTTTTTTTTTTTTTTTTTGGCACTCATAAACCTGAACTTAATTGGGAAAAAATCGTCAATCTATAATACTTAGCATTTTTCCTTTTTCATCCTCCAAATCTTTTGAGAAAATTTAAGGCACTGCATACACATATCTCTGATTGGAGTTGATTTCTTCTATTCTCTAGCACTGAATTATATACCTACTATATTTAATATTTATAAAAAGATTTATTTTCATCAAATTTTGGGCAAATTTTTGGTTTTCGTTGTATTTTTCATTCAATTTTTTGCTGGAATTGCGAAGATATATGAAGTAAAAATGTAATTTTTAGAGTATTGAATTATGGGTGTACTTAGAAAATGAGTGTTGAGAGTCTCTTTTTTTGGGCATTTAGCTCTAAATTGTCATTTTAAAAAAATATATATATATATTTTCTACATTTATGTCAATTTTTATTTTTCTATATTTTTGTTTAGATTATAATTTTTTTTGTTCGTGTAAGGTGTTGATACTATCAAATTTTTTGCCGCGCTTAAAATGTGCCCTTTAACTGACATTTTAAGGATACTTATAGCCATTAAGAGATGTTAAAGAGCTGGAAATGAGATATTTTTATGTGTTATGCTTAGATTGTTTTTGTGTGTTTATTGATGTATGTACTTATTGGGGTGTTTACTGAGATGAGCATAATTGTTTGTTATGAATTTTACAGAAGTCTCATAGTCATCATTCATCTCATTCTCATACCAATTAATTTAGTTTTATTTATTAAAAGTAATATCCGGTCAAAAAAGTTCTTTTAGTAAGTACGTTTTAGTTGGTTGATGCAGTTTCGATTTCTGGTTTGATTGATCTGTGAAAAACAGTAGAGCCATGACCATTTCTCTAGAAAAAGTACAACAGCTTTGGAATAGATGGGGAATTCGAATATCGGTTTTACTTAGCCTTCTTTTACAAATCATCCTCATCCTATCTGGTTCTAAATGAAAATACATAGTAAGAAGATGGATATTAATCCTCATTTGGTCATCATATCTAGCAGCAGATTGGATAGCAACTGTTGCCCTAGGGCAGCTTGCCACCAGCCAAGAGGATATCGAAGAAAATAATTCTACAATATCAAGTTACCAACTCCAGGCATTTTGGGCACCATTCCTTCTTTTGCACCTTGGTGGACCAGACACTATCACGGCTTACTCTTTAGAAGATAATGAGTTGTGGCTAAGGCATTTTCTCGGTCTTATTGTTCAAGTTGGAGTAGCATTTTATGTCTTCTTACGATCATGGAGCAACACGGGCCTCACATATTTGGCGATTCCAATGTTTATTTCTGGAACCATCAAATATGGAGAGCGAACTTTGGTACTTTGGTCTTCGAGCACCGATAAATTTAGAGATAACTTGCTCTTAAATCATGATCCTAGTCTAGATCTTGTTCAGTTGACAAAAGAACAAGATATCAAGGAAGAAGTGCAGAAGGATGAGTCACATCCACTGATTGTAGCTTATTTTTTGTTCAAGAGATTTAGACATTTATTTGCAGGTCTACCTCTCAACATTGATGAATGGAAGCTAAGCTATAAAATCTTTGAGAAAAAGTCACCAAAAGTGGCTTTCGATCTGGTGACTATTGAGCTTGGATTCATGTATGATTTTCTCTACACAAAGGCAATCATCAGTTATTCTCGCTTCGGAATAGTTCTTCGTTTTGTTAGCTTCCTTTCATCTGTTTTTACATTAGGTTTCTTCTCAATCATCATTGACGTCCAGGCTTACTCACCAATTGACTTATCCGTAACTTATGTATTGCTCTCTGAAGCTGTTGTTCTAGAGGTTTATGCTTTAATCCTACATTTTTTCTCGGACTGGACAAAACTAATCAATTTGACGAGGTCTAAGAGAGCAAACCATAATGTTCGTACATGTCCATCTCAAGCAGTTGTGACCAGTCGGAAGAGGTGGTTGGGATACATGAGATAGTTCAACCTTCTGAGTTTTAGCCTCAGAGAAATTTCAACCAGTTATGTCGGAATTCATAAGCTCCTTGCCTTCAACGAATTGTTAGAGAAGTATCAGTATTTGAGCTGGGCAAAAATAGATGTCGTTTTGCAAGAAAAGATCTTCCACCATCTTTTAAAGAAAAGGAATGAATCTGAATTGCCGTCTCTGAATTCAAACGAAATCAAAGAAGTACCTAGAAGTTTGTTTGCTAAGATAGGTCATTATAAGGTTCAAAATGAGGAACTACAAAGGGCTTTTGAAGAATTCTCTATTTTATTTGGATACGGGGACTTCCTTATGTGTTGGCACATAGCTTCTGATATCTGCTACTATGAAGATTCAGATAAAGATGAAGATAGTATTAATAGTAATCTAAATTGCAATATTAGCAGATGGTTAGCAGATTACATGTTGTATCTTTTGGTATTTTGTCCATCTATGATGCCCAAAGAGACTGGTGAAGTGATGTTCAGAGCTACTTTTGCCACCGCCATGCGTTCATTCATGAACAAAGAGATGAATATGCTCTCAAGTAAAAATCTTAAAATTAGAGCTTGCCAGTTGCTTCAAGAAGAGTTTGGTGGCACACCTGAAAGTAATGACGAAGCTGGTATATCCCAAACATCTCATGATGATGTAATTATTAAAATGGCAATACACCTTGTCAAGGCAATGAAGAAGTCGGATAATGTTGAAGAAAAGTGGGAGATGATTAGTGAATACTGGCTGGAGACTTTAATGTTCGCTGCAGCTCATTCTGAATGGAAAGAGCATGGGCAACAACTTAAGAATGGTGGAGAGCTACTCACTCATGTCAAACTTCTTATTGCACATCTTGGCTTTAGTGAAGATTACCAAGTTTATGGCCAACACCTACCGTAAATCATTTTTATTTCCTGTAAAATATGACTTATAATACATGTGTGACAGCTAGTTTGAACCTTAATTTATGATGTTTGTACATATATCTCTAAATAAAGTTTCATTGTCTTTGCAATTATATGCAATTTGAGTATAGAATTTTTCTTTTTCAAGTGTTTCTAGTTTGCGCACTAGTTGAAACTTGAAACTTTAGTACTTGAAGGTATTTGTATACGTTTGATTTATGGTCTTGCACTCATGAAATATATAATGAATTTGATGGTTTAATGAATAAATTCGATAATGAATAAAAACATATGGAATATATTTGAGTTTGAGTTGTACCTAAAAAAATGAATAATGTGATAAAAAATATATCATATATAAACATTTGTATATGTATAGCATTAATATAAGATTTATATGAAATGTGAACAGCTTAGGTTTTTGCTTAATTTGATAGGAGATGAGTGGGTCCAATGTAGCCATATTTCTCAAAAGATAATGATACATTTTCTTATTGTCAATTCTTTCAACTACCTCCAAGAAGAGTAGAGGTCCCATTCAGTTCTGTTTTTGTTTTGGACCTTTGGTTCGATGATTTATGACCTTTGCTTTACGAAACTGCTTTTAAGAATGCACATTGGACACGCAAGNTGATATTCTGAATAGCCCAATATCCAGCAATGATTACACTAACACAGGAAAATTACAAGGATAATCAAAATAGTACTGAGCCAGTTACTTGACTCCTGGTGCAAGTACCCCATTAAGGCTAGCTGATTCTGTCACTTGACATGCTTAGTGAACCAGTTTAACATGTCTTCATGCGCCTCTTCTGCGCTCTTCACAGCAGATTCATCTTCAACTTTGTACTTAACTGTCCATCCATGTGAGACACCAGGGAATATTTTAACCAAGGAATCAATCTGCAATTAGCAATCATACATATAGAATGTAAGTTTGTATACACGAGCTTATGTTGGAAAACACACAACCACTGTTGCTAGAGAGAAAATAATCTTTCGTCTTTCAAACTCTTACAGAAAATTGGATTTTCTGTTTAATGTTGAAACATGATTCTTTCCACATTAAAGGCAAGCTCAAGTTTCATCAAATGCTCACAGATGCAAGAGGAAACCAATTAAATTTTGCAATAGCTTGTATTTGAAGCAGCATATTTTCATGGCCTAAATTTTGGATTTTGATGGAATGCATAATAATCAACAAATTTTCTCATTTGAGGATCTCTTACCTCAGATTTTGATGACAGTATTTCTCCAAAATGTTTCACTTGTTCTGCTGGGGTAATATGATCAATTTCAGCTCCCAAAATAGCAACTGGAATCTTTACCTCTGAAAAAAGTTATGATTCGTCAGTAACAAATACATTGAGTGAGCTAGGGAAGTGTAAAACTTACCATTGATATCATCAACCGTGATCCGGCTAGGATGCAACAGAACGGCAGCCTGAATATAGTCAGTACTTGCCAATTTCACAGCCACCCTCCCTGATTCAGATGCAAGTAATGAAATTTCAGTGTCTAATGTTCAATATTATCAAGCTATGGGGCCATATTACTCCTTAAAATGACAAAAGAGAATGAAAAAAGCTCACCTCCCCAGCAAAAACCTGCAGCCCCTATGGCAGACACACCTTTACTTTTGAGAGCAGCAATCACTGGTTTGGCATCTTCGTATCCTTTGTCCTACCAAGGAATTATTTAAGTTAAGCAGTGCAGTTCAACAAAAGGCTATTAGATCAATTGTTGATTTGCAAAGTCTAATTCACCATATATTGGCATTAATAGGAGATTAGCCAGAGAGGACTTTACTGTTGTACAAGTTCAAGATGTTGACAACTCTATCCAAAGAAGGTTAGCACAGCGGTTGATGTGGATTGTTTCAAATAATCCAAGGTAACAAAATGAAATTGAAATGGATCTATTTCACAGTTTTTACATGGCCTTTTAAATGATTTCAACTCTCATGTTGAAAATGAAAACTATATCAAGTCTTTTCTAAGTATATCGAATATATCTATTTCTCTAAATTATTTGTTACAATGAATTCAATATGAAGATATGACTATATCTATCATCATCTTGTTGACCTCCCAAAAGGGATGGTGGCTAAATTGCTATATAATGCATATAACTGTAACAATATTCAAAAGAAATTTTGAAATCATTAAATTGGTAAGCAGTATACTTATGATTTGTCAATTTCAGCAGTGCATCCTACAAACACTTTAATGAAGCAATAAACTGACCGTGGTATGAACTTTTCTCCATGCATCTCGATCAAATTGTGGGTTGCTCAGATCAACAGGATCACCGTAAAAGAAATCAGGAGCCATGACTAAGAATCCAGCTGCTGCAACTTTGTCTGCTAGTTTCCTGTACAGTAAGACAATACAAATATCCAATCAACTGAAAAATATACATTAAATTTACTACCGAAAGAAATTAAAGGATAAAGAGGGGTTAACATATCAAATGCATTGTTCTAAGATCTCTATTTGTTTACCCAGGAAACTGTGTTATGCAGTGGATAGACTACCTCTGATGGATATGATAGTAAAAGGAATAGTATTCTAAGTCCTAATTCTACATCAGACTGCTTCTTACAGTCTCCAGGACATGATTCAATGGCATTTGGCTCTTTACTTCCATAGTTGAACTTGAAAACAAGTTCAAAGCATGAGAGAAAAATTCATCCCTTTTTAAATATTCAAAATGAATATATTATTTTCTCACAAAGTTAAACAATGACCATTACATCTCATTATCATTCTCTTCAATTTACATCATTAGAAGTGAAAAAGATAAGGTGGGCTTGGGTAAAAGCCAAGCCCAAAATTAGTGAAGGGAGGAGGGTCCCTCTCAACCACATATAACGCTATACCATGATAAAGTGGGCATGGGTAGAACTCACTCACAAAAAGTAACTAAAGGGAAGAGAGAGATCAAACACATATATAAACAATAACAACTCACCAACTTAGCGATGTGAGACAAATCTAACATAATAGACCATGAAGATTAAACTTTTCATGTCCCTAGGCAACATTATGGGAAAAATCTCAACATGATACAACCAACCATTCAGCATCAACATAGAACAATCTCTTCGTTGCAGATGAGAGCTGGGCACTCCTTCACTATATTATACATAATACAGGCGTGTTTCTTTCTTTTCCCTTTCTCACAGGCATGCTTAAAACTTATTATGCTAAATATGTAATGGTAATGGCATCAAATACATTATAGTGTACCATTCAACAAAGATATGGGGTTCATGGATGGGATACATTTTTCTATCTCTGGGCCACATGATACAAATTGGGCTAATTAGCTACTCTGATTCAGCTCAGTTGTACCAATTAATGCTATAACATAGGCACTTCCGGATCTTATAAATGGTAAAATTTGTAGCAAAAGAAACATGGAAAGCCTATTTCCAATAAGGTGTATTGCTAGTCTGAATGTAAGTCGTCTAATGTAACAAATGTTTATATAAGAACCCACCAAGTTAACATGCTATACCATATAAAAGAAAATTCTGCGTTTCCTCTTCACAAGATAAATAACATATTCAAATTAACATCAATAATTGTAACAAATAGTTACTGTATTCTTAACTTATTGACAACGTTAAAGCTTAAGAATCAATTAATGCAAAAGCTAAATCAATAATCAGTAACCATACCTAAAGAGGGGCGCTTCATAGCCTGCAAAATTTTCAAGAAGAAAAGCATATATCAGATAATATTAACTCAAAGAAAGCGTAACATTTACCAAAAAATGGGAACCCCACATCAAAATAAACCATATATGATCTATAAAGCTTATATAAATTAATGGAAATGAAAGAATGTGAAGATGGGTTGTTACCAAAAATATCAGAAACGAGAAGAATAGCGAGCTTAGAATCAGAAGGTCCAGTGACATAAGTGTTGAGGCCAGCAATTTCTTGGACAGTCCCTGCTCCACAAGTGGAGCTGAGGGTTGGTGGGTTTTCGAGGCACTGAGAGCTTGCCATATTTCTTCTTCAGACTTCACTCACTCTTACAGGAGTAGAAAAGAAAAGTGGAGGGAATCAAAATCATTTTAATGCTTTATAGGGACAGGGAGACATATAAAATGATTTAAACCACGTCACTGCTTTCGTCAAGTAATCCAACGTTGTCGGTCGCCGTGTCACTTCTTCCCTTCTTGGCCAATCAATTTGCAGCTTTGACGGACTGACTCTCAACCACTTTCCACAGTGCCATTATACATGCCTTTCGCAATGCATTATGCATGCCTTCGTAGTTGTCGATTCTGTATGAATTTATCCAACATTTATAGTTAATGCTAATAAGTTTTATATTTATCCACAAACAGTTTTCAGAAAGTAAGTTTAGCTGGAATGAAGGTGGCAGTGGCACTACTCTTTGTAGTTTGTACGATGACCGATAAGATATTTTTGTTTTGGCTTGTGCTCCTGAGTCTCGGAAAGCCCAACTCAAAACAAGCCCATAATAAAATTGATGGTTATATAAAGCAGGAAACAAACGAACTAACAAACAAAGGGCGCGGAAGAAAAAAGACAAAAAACCAAAAACCTGCCACTTACTATTCGATATCCATCCGCAATTCACGGTCTGTCTGTTTCTCTCAGTGTGAGGGTTTTTCTTTGTTTATCACCACAGATAACAAAACCAAAACCTCAAACAGACTCAGAGAGAGAAGAGAAATGGGGTCTCCGGTGAATGAAAGAGAGCATAAAAGAGACCAACATAATGAAGAAGAAGAGCCAATACTAAAGGAACAAAACCAGAGAATTTTGTATGTCTCACATTGCCATTAGGTACTCTTTACCGTGACTGTAGTTACTTTTTGTTTAATTGTTTAGTTTTGTCTGTTTTATTGCTTGTTCTTTTCTTCTTCTTTTAAAATTATTTAATGAAATGGAATTGTTAAATTCATATTTGAACTTTGCACACAAAAATTGGTTTGCATTGTTCGGTATAATCCGTACAATGGATTAATGTGTTAGCCTTTCAAATATATATTTTTTTATCACCAGGGCGACCGTTCCAGCTTGTGCGAACTTGAGTTCATCACAGGGCTCTAGAATTGCCTGGCTGAGTAATTGTTGGGTATACTCTGGATTGATGTGTTAGCCTTTTAAATTTTATTTATTTATTTATTTTTTTTATCATGGAGTATCCGTGTCAGCTTGTATACACCTCAACTAATTCTCTTGTTGTCTTAAAACTGTTAACCTAATAAGAACCGTAATAATCACCCATATTAATATTTGGAAGGACTCGAACTATAAACTCATAAAACTTTTTTTATTCTTTTACCATTAAGTCATCCGTTAGTAGTTTCTTTTAAATATTGTTATTTAAATGTCTTGTGCTATGAAATGTTACTTTGGAATAAAATTTTTAAATTTTTAAATCTTTCTCTCTTTTTATTTTTTATTTATTTTTAACTTAATATTTTTGTTGGATATTCTAGTCATTGGATCACTAAGCTTTATATATGGGTAATAATCAGTAATAAAACTCTAGAACTAGGAAAACTTCAATTATTGATAAATAGAGACCTCGATGTCACACATTTGTTGAATAGAACTATCATCTCGCATGTTCTTCTCACTTGACATGCTTGGCAGACCAGTCCAGCATGTTCTGATGAGCTTCATCTGCACACTTCACAGCTTCTACATCGTATCGCACCGTCCATCCGTGTGAAACTTTAGGAAATATTTTCACAAAGCCATCAACCTGATAAAAATCATTGACCATGAGAACAAACATTCAATCAATGTCCTATATCAAATGGCTCACTGTCTTTTGTCTTTACAAACAAACATTATAGCCATGAAAGACAAGGGTGTATGAACCACATTATGAAAATAGAAACATAACAGGGAAAGCCTAAGAGAATGATACAACATCACCAAAAATCTTATATGGTTAAGCTTACTCCCATTACCTAAATAAAAGAAAAGGTGCTTGCTTGCCAGTAATTAATTCAGACACATAAATTTTAGGTCAAAGCATCTTCCTACCTCAGATTTAGCAGTTAGGATCTCTTCAAACTGTTTTACGAGAGAGGGTGGAGAAAATTGATCAATTTCAGCTCCCAGTATAGCAATGGGGACCTCAACCCCTGAATAAGTATCATTAATTAAACAAAAAAAACAATTAACAGATTGTTTCCAGTGAAACTCACGACTAACACAAGAATATAGCTCTAGAAATCGAAGAACTCATACAGTTGATATCGTCAGGAGTGACAAATGAAGGATGACTCATCACAGCAGCTTGGATAAATTCACACTTTGCAAGTTGAACTACGACTTTAGCTGAGAAGAAAAGTAGACATTAGTCAGCTGAATCAATAAATGCACTAAATTTGATTTGTATCTGGTCGAAAATGTATTAGTGTTAAAATATTTTCTAATATGAAAGACTATGATATGAAGTTATCAAAGAAACTGAATAAGAATAGAACAGCAAGGCAAAATATCTATCTTACCGCCCCAATTGCGGATAGACCTTTACTCTTAAGATCTTGAATTACTGGCTTTGCGTCATCAAACCCCTTATCCTATCAAAAACAAGAAATGGCTCAGCCACTTAAAAGCTGAAATTGGTGCTTATTAACAACTCCACAGAGACATCAGAACTATGAAATTAGGCATGATAGTGACCGGTGGAGTACAGCCAGGCAATTTGAAGGCTTCGTACAGAAATAACAATTAATACAAATAAGGCAGCTGAATCCATTCTATAAAGCTACATGTGAAATTCTAGACTGGACCTAAAAAATAATCCCAGATGAGATAAATGAAGTCAAAACGACCCTTTGTGACAATAATTGATTAAATGAAAAAAATTAACTCATGTGTCAAAATTTCAAAACCAACCGTTCCATGATCTTTTATCCATGCTTGTAAAGGTCTTTCAGGATTAACTACGTATGGATCTCCATAAAAGAAGTCAGGAACTGCCACATAGAATCCAGCAACTGCAATCTTGTCTGCAAGCTTTCTTTACGCAAAAAAACATCAGGCCTAAGCTCCCAGAAGAATGCAAAGTACAAATAAACGGAAAACCAGCAGATAGTAACACAAACACTTGCATGCAGATTTTATGCCTATGTACATACCAAACTACAGTAATCTTGGTCCACAGTTTTCTCATATATTGAGCACATAAGTCAGGAATTGGCTGCTTGAAATAAGCTTAATCAGATTACAGTTTTCATAATCCACAGACTTGACTTTAACATTTTCAATTTTGAAACATTAATTTATTAAATTATGAAAGTAGGGCACTCCACCACTGAAGTAGGTCAAATCACAACACTTCTTCTGCAGATGCATGTAATTTATTGCAAAGTTGCAGGCAACAGTGACAGTTAATCAGAATGACTCAATTGAAGGGCTGTGAAGATATGAATATTGTTAATTAGGAAAACAAATATGTCATTATGACAAATATTATGTTATTATTACATAACATATTTCATGCTAATCACATCCCTAATTATGTAAGATTATAGCATTAAGGCATAATATATGTTTGCCTTTTACAGATTCTTATATTTGTATAAATTGACCTTTCGTATTATACGATATACAAAATAAACAGAATTGTTATTCTGTTTCTCTTCTTTCTCTAAGGCAGTCTCTGACAGATTATACTGCTTCTTTTGCCTCTTTCTTCTTGTTCTCCTTCTTTACTACTTCTTCTTCTTTAGCTTCTGACATAGTATCAGAGCAGTATTTTTGAGTTCCAATACTTCCAAAAACTTCTCTTTATTGTCCCTGAAAAATCAAACAGAAACCTCGATTATTTTCTTTACAAAATAGATGGCAGACAATCAAACGCAACCTCCACCAAACCAAACAAGCCCAACACCAACAAATCCGTCGTGGGCCAAACAGGCTCTATCCCACCAAACCACATAGACCCAACCCCAACAGGCCCTAACCCAATCCAAAATCAAACTGGACCAAACCCACTCGGACCAAACCCACTCGGCCCAAACCCACTGTCCAACACCTTCCCATACCCGTTAAGTTATCCGAGTCCCCAACCGGGTCAGGATTCCCAATCGGGCCCAAATCCCTACCCAAATCAGATTCCTTTCAATTTTCACATGTAGCCAACCGCCACCCTAAACCAGATGACATCCTGTACGCGCCGGCATCCGATAGCCCTAACGTTGTTCTCATAAAAAACACCCTAACGGGATCTGAGAATTATGCCACTTGGGCAAGGGATTTTCGTCATGCTCTCATCACAAAGGATTAGGAGAGTTTTATTGATGACACCACCACCCATCGACGACCACCTCCACCGCCATTGGAACAGATGCAATATGCTCGTCCGTGCTTGGATCGGCAATTGCATCTCATTGGAGGTGGCAGCAGGCTTGCCACCCACTAATTTAGCAAGTGAAGTCTGGGCATACATCAAAGAGATGTATGGCAAACTAGATCTCGCCTAGACCTTCACTCTCCGGCGAAATCTCTCGGAGACCACACAAAATAATATGTCGATCACGACATATTTCAACAAATTGAGTTCCCTTTGGAACGCCTTAGATGCTGCTAAAGAAACCCTTTCGCAATATCACCAGATCCAAGACCAAGAACGCCTGAGCAAATTCCTACTCTGCCTCAACGACGGCTACTTGTCGTTTCGCACTCAAATTCTTGCCTCTAAGCCACCACCATCTCTTCGCCGAACTTTCCAGTTAGCTGTCCAAGAGGAAAGCCAATGACAAGTCATCGATGTTTCCTGGCGAGGAGACACCTTAGCACTCGCCAGTGCTCGCACTCGCCAGTGCTCGCACTCAAGCCTCACAACCGTCACATAATATCTCCACCGAGGCAGCTCTCTAGCGGCTAAGGTTACAAATGGTGGAAGGTAATGTTTTATATGGGAAGATGGGCGGCCGAGATTCAATCCCTTCATCCAATGACCCACATTCAATCCAAGAGTCAACTGGGTCAACAAATACAAATGGGCCAGATTTGATTTCTTCTTTAAATACTTATGCAGGCCGAAATTCAACTTATGGCTCAAATGGGCTTGGGTCTTCCACAAATGGACCAAATGGTTACCATGGGTCCGGATCTTCCAGACAAGGCAAGCCCAAATTTTATTGTGACCATTGCAAATGCCGAAATCACAATCGGGATCACTGTTGGAAGCTTCATAGGTGCCCCACCAAGGACAAAAATGGCTACCCCTCAGTAAATCAAGTGTCTAACAATTCTTCAGGAGATACTGTCTCAGCACCCTTGATTAGCCAAGAGCAATACACGCAACTCCTACAAATGCTGAAAAACACACCTCAGACATCAAAATCCTCCTACGCAGGTACATCTTACTGTCTTAATCTTATCACAAATTATGCTTGGATAATTGATTCAGGAGCTAGTGACCACATAATTTGTAATCCAAAATTTTTCCATACACATACAATAAATACCGCTAGCACTTCCGTCCATATGCCAAATGGCAACATTGCCCTACCAACCACATATGCACTATTTATTTAATCGACTTTTTAGTACTTAAAAATGTACTATGTGTCCTGGCGTTTCATTTCAATCTTATTTCTGTGTCTAAATTCTGTCAGGATAATAACTGTCGTTTACATTTTCTACCTACAAAATGTGAATTTCAGAACCCTTCGACTGGGAAACTGATGAGCTTGGGTAGGGTTAATAACAATCTTTACTATTGGACTCCTGATGTCCCTTCTACTTTTTTTTTAAATTGTATTGCACCCAATAAAATTTCTTGTAATACAAATATTAATAAAAGTTCTCTTATTTTACATCAAAGACTGGGTCACAATGCTTCCATTCCACAGCCAAAATGTCCAATTTGCCCTCTAGCCAAACAATCCTGAAACACATTTCCCATTAGCACTACTACAACCAAACGTACTTTTGCATTCATCACTTAGACATTTGGGGTCTATATCACACACTATACCATGATGGGGCTAGGTACTTCCATACTATTGTCGATGATTTTTCCCGCGTACATGGGTCTTTCTCATGCAAAACAAAGCACAATCCGCCACTCAATTAAGGACTTTCTAGCCATGGTCAAAACTCAATTTTGTACATCTGTTCAAAGGATTTGATCTGACAATGGGAAAGAATTTTTTAGTCATAATTGTTTGTCTTTCTTTTTATCCCTTGACATTTTACATGAGAGTTTCTGTACCTATACTCCTCAACAAAATGGAGTAGTTGAACACAAACACCGACACTTATTAGAAGTAGCTCGTGCCATTAAACACCAAGTCAACTTACCCACTTCCTTTTGGGGCGAATGTGTGGTCACAGTTACTTACCTGATCAATGGTATGCCATCCAATGTGCTTCATGGTAAGACACCCTTTGAGATTCTCTTTGGCAAAACACCGGACCTGAACCATCTTTGTGTGTTTGGCTACTTGTGTGACTCCAAAATTGTTGGGACTTCTGAAAAATTTGGGGCTAGAGCCACTCCTTGCATCTTCATGGGATATCCTATGCTACAAAAGGGTATTGTCTCTATGATCCTACCACTCAGACATTCTTGGTCTCTCGCGATGTTATTTTTCATGAAGATATTTTTCTATATACAGATGTCATTCTTAGCTCTACCTAGACACGTATACAAAAATTCTTTAAAGATGATCTCCCTCCCACAAATCCAGACTTTGTCCTCATTCCTACACGTACTAAAATTCCAACAGCTCCTGATTACCCTTTACCCACAGAATCTCCACAAACTGATACTCCTCCATCAGAACACCCTCTTGACAATACCACCACAGAGCCCCCACATACATTACCTCACCCAAACCCGGATCCTTCTGCACGATGATCTTCCTGTCGTACAAGGCCACTAATTTGGACAGCAAATTATGAATGTCCCATCATACAGAGAATAGGTACTCTTTATCCTACAGCAAATTATGTAAGTTATGATAGACTATCTCCTATACATAGAATTTGTGTTAGTCACATTTCTGCAGACCGAGAACCATCCTGTTTCTCTGAAGCTGTCTCTCACACTCAGTGGCACCAAGCTATGACTGAGGAACTTAATGCCCTAGCTCACAATAATACTTGGGATCTGGTGCCCAGGTCTTCACACAGAAAACCAATTGGGTGCAAGTGGGTATACAAAATCAAACACCATTCTGATGGGTCTATTGAATGGTACAAGGCTCAGCTAGTTATTAAAGGCTTCACTCAGCGTGAAGGATTTGACTACCAAGAGACATTTTCTCCTGTTGCCAAACATGTCACTATTCAGACTTTTCTTTTAGTCGCCTCTGCTCACGACTGGTCCTTACATCAGATGGATGTCCATAACGCTTTTTCTTCATGGCGACCTTAATGAAGAAATTTATATGGATTTTCCTCCAGGACTTCAACGATAGAGAGAGAATACTGTATGTCGTCTATGAAAGTCCTTATATGTATTAAAATAGGCATCCAGACAGTGGAATGAAAAATTTACACAAGCACTTACAAGCATTGGTTTCCTCCAATCAAAACATGATTATGCGCTCTTCTCAAGGTGCAAAGGTAATTACTTCATTGCCCTTATTATATATGTTGATGACATCCTAATCATAGGAAATGATGAAGCTGCCATTAGAAACCTCAAGGAACATCTCAATAAACATTTCCGCATAAAAGATTTGGGGGAATCAAAATATTTCCTAGGGATTGAAATTGCAATCTTTAGCAAGAATATCCCTCAGCCAAAGGAAATATGTTCTTGAACTTATATCAAATTCTGAATTGTCAGGATGCAAGCCAAGTGTCATTCTTGTCGAACAAAATTCAAAAGTCACCACTCAAGGGTATGATAAAGTGGCTTCATCGACAAAAATAGACCTACCATTAGAGGATGCTTCTCATTATCAAAGACTTGGGGGACGTGTCATTTATCTCACTATGACGCGACCAGATATCAGTTACGCTATACATATCCTTAGCCAATTCATGCATGGACCAAATCAATCTCACATGGATGCAGCAATAAAGGTACTGAAATATTTAAAAGGTTGTCCCTGCCTTGGACTTATGTTACCACGAAATGCTGATTTAGATATCACAGCCTATTGTGATTCTGATTGGGCCACATGTCCAATGACAAGAAAGTCCCTTACTGGTTTTTGCATAAAACTTAGGGGAGCTCTCATCTCCTGGAAGACAAAGAGACAGTCTACAATATCCCTTTCGTCAGTAGAAGCTGAGTACAGATCTATGGCTAAAACTACATGTGAGATCACTTGGATCCTTGGATTATTAAGAGATTTGGAGGTACAAGTCAAAAGACTTGTTCGGTTGTATTGTGATAGTAAGGCAACAAATGATATTGCGACGAATCTAGTTTTCCACGAGAGAATAAAACATATAGAGATTGACTACCACTTCGTCAGAGAGAAAACACAAAAAGGGATGATCAAAACAATGCACATTCGAACTTCAGAATAGCTAGCCGATATTTTTACAAAAACATTGTGCAACAAACAAAATTCATATTGCTTACACAAGCTTGGCGTTTGTGACATATATAAACCACAAGCTTGAGGGGGAGTGTGAAGATATGAATATTGTTAATTAGGAAAACAAATATTTGTCATTATGACAAATATTATTTATTATTACATAGCATAATTCATGCTAATCACATCCCTAATTATGTGAGATTATAGCCTTAAGGCATGATATATGTTTGCCTTTTACAGATTCTTACACTTGTATAAATTGACATTTTGTACATAACATTATACGACATACAAAATACACAGAATTGTTATTTTGTTTCTCTTATTTCTCTATGACAGTCTTTGGCAGATTATACTGCTTCTTTTGCCTATTTCTTCTCCTTCTCCTTCTTTACTGCTTCTTCTTCTTTAGCTTCTGACATTAAAGAAGCAATCTACACCAACAGATCACTATTTCTTTAGCGATTGGGTAAACCATGGAACCCATTTAATTCAAAACACAACATCTGGCAATGAAAAACTTTCTTACCATTTTGAACAATCATTAGCCTATCAAACAATACAGTGCTGAAATACTTCACATACCATCTTGTACAGAGCATGAGCTACTACCATGTTCAAGTTTGAGGGCAAGTGGTAGCACTAACTGATTCCCCCTTTGCACACCAGAGCATTGACATATTGGGCACCATTGGCCCTAGACTTTAAAATGTCAATAAAGCCTTACATACTAAATTGAGGATGATCAAACAACACTGTCATGATCATGAGTCTCTAAAGTCTACAACTTTACAAACACTAAGGCAATGAAAATAAAGACCTAATGGAACTCAACAAAATTACATTATAGAGATAGTATCTTGATTGTCCTATATAATGCAGGAAGATATAAACAATTTAACTATTTGTAAGCCTATTCTACAATTATTTTAAGACAATTGATTTAGGGGCCCATAATTTGATAGTATCTTGATTGTCCTATTGTCTGAAGTATAAAGGAAAGTTTGATAAGGAGGTTAGCTTAGCTCAACTTTGCGAAGTCATGACCAGGTTTTTCTAGCTATTGAAGAAGAACAATGCTTAAAAAAACAGGAAACATATGTTATATGAACTTTGATGCATACTTGATATAACATGAACCAATTGAGCCATGAAAATGCAGCCTTACATCCATATACTATCATTTTTCCCCTATGGTTGCCCGAAAGTGGTTTTCTTAAAGAATGTACAATCATAACCATCCTAATTTCTTCTGGTAATATTAAAGAGATTAAATTTAAGCATTAAGAACATGTTACAATGGTTGAGGTAGGGTCTAGAGTTAACAAATCCATCACAATCTGCCAAAAGGAAGTAATAACAAACATAAATAAGAAAAAGGAACTATCTAGAGCAATTTATTATGTTAAATACTACAAACACAACCATTAGCTGCAGAAGAAAGAAATGAGAGTAAGCCACACCTCAAGTTCAGAGCTTCATATCCTGTAGGATCAAGTCAAGACACGTAATATTTAGAAGATTGTAGCAAACAGGGGGACAAAAAATGTAAACATAATAGTATATAATCGATAAGAAAGTAAAATATGATCAATATAAAAGCAAGACCCTGGCTCTATATAGATAACTCAATAAATATTTCAAACTAGAGAACAAACAACTACCAGAACCCACATCTAATAGTCAAATGCAAGCAACATAAATGATATATTGAAGTGAAAAAACACTAAGAGTGTCTAGATATCCCTAACTATTTTCTATGAAGCCCCCATTTTCAGTTTCAATAAGAAAAAATTTGTAAAATATATAATAGAAAAATATGTATATTTAGCGGTTACAATGCTAATACTCAGCAGGGCAGAACTAGTTGCAACTTTGAAAATATGTCTTCTGCAATTGCATCCATTTCTTCACAAATTTATAGTTCACGTATTAAAGGGGTTATTTTTAAGCTATTAGTAATGGAAAACTACCTATTGAAGAGTCTATGAGCGAAAATTTTCTTCCTCTCCCACTCTTCTTGAACTAGTGGATCTAATATGCTTTATAGTTTCTATCTCTACCATAAAATCAAGTAACTTAACCTAATTGCCCTTAATTATAAATAACAAAGACAAAAATAAATGCAATGCATTAGACTATCAAGTTTATCACCATCTAGTATGGTCTAGTTTGCTTTAACTAGGTTATCAAACTATGTTATTAAATATAGATTGTTTAACCTTGTATAGTCTAGCATTACAGATTAAGAATATATCATTTATTTTTACATTTAAGGGTTTAATTAGCAAATTATTAGATTTTTTTTTTGGTTAGATTTGTCATTAAAAAACAAATGAAGTGTTAATAGTATCATTCAAACGCTAAACAAAGAGAACCATTAAACCATACAAAAGAAGACCCATAAAAAGCAATCACGTAAGTATTAGAGCCAAAAAAATAAAAAAACAGCTTGAGGTTTAGTACCAAAAATGTCAAAAACAAGAAGAACAGCAAGCTTAGAGTGGGTAGAGTCAGTGACATAAGTGTTGAGTCCACCAAGCTTCTGAACAAGGCCCACACCGACGCCTGGGTTTAAGTTTGGAGGATTCGCACAACATTGAGGACCTGCCATTTTTTGTTTTTTTCACTTTCACCTGGAACTGTAATCAGAGCCACAACCAGCAGCTACTGGAGACGCTAACCAACATATAACTTATCGTTAGTCAACTAGAATGAAGTCTTGCATCATCTCTGACAGCACCATCATTTGAACTTAATAAAATGTTACCCTTTAAACAAATAATGAAATAAATAATCTGAATAACAAGCATCTTTAATTACAATAAAATAATACTCAGATCAGATACTTAGGATTGTCTTGATGGACAAGGAATGGCTGATGGCTTAGTTTAGTCCTTGACGAAAGGGGATCAATTCTTGTCCTGTCCATGTCCATGCCACTATCTTATCGAATCTTCTATGTGAGTTTTCTATTTCATTTTCAAATTTTGTCGTGATACCTCTGATCTTTGACTGAAATTAAATTAATGGCTTCATATAAGGAACTACACCCTAACTGCCTCATAAGGTGATTAAGGCCCCATAAGGTGATTAAGGTCAATGTTTATTTCATTCTTGGGCATTGCCACATTGGTATCTTCACCATTAGTTTTTGGGATTAAATTATTTTAACGTATAAAGTCAATCTAATAGAATTCTTGACCAAATTTCATACGAAATTCTGGTTTATGCTTGAGCTCAATTGCTCTTTCAGATTCTATGGGAGATGCATTGATGTTTTTTATGTTGGCATAAGCTGTTATTGTGAACACTCAAGAGAAATTTTAGGCATTTGAAATATGTAACATCTCGTAAATAAGGGTGGTTAGCATGAGTCTAGAAGACGGATTTGTATAGCAAATATTTTTTTAGATTTTATTCTTTGAAATGTATATAACCTACGGAAAAAAATATGAGGAATAAAATGAAAGACGGAATTTTTGACATGGTATCACGAGCCAAACAAGATCTGGCTTCCTGTATTGCAACCTAACCATCCTCCCATGGCGGACTCTGATGACCTGAATACTTCCGGCGACACATCCAACCTCTTTGATTCTATCCTTGAATTGACTACAAGGATGACTAAGGTTTTGAATAACGCTTGGACCCTGACCATCACCACTGAAACATCTGCTGCTATGATCGGCATTAAGTTGGATGATACCAACCATGCACTGTGGTCCCAGGTTGTCGAATGTATATCTCTGGCAAGGACAAACTGGGGTAAATTAACAGCGACTGTCCCCAGCTGCCATCTACTGATCCTTCCTTTCGCAAGTGGCGCACTGATAATGCTATTGTTAAAGGTTGGTTAATTACCTCCATGGATCCGTCTTTAATTGACAATTTTATTCACTTTCCTACGGGAAAAGCGGTTTGGGATTCCATTGCAATTACCTTTCTCAATGGTAGTGATACATCACAAGTGTATGATCTTCGACGCCGTGTGACTAGACTAAAACAAGCTGTTGGCTCACTGGAAAAATATTATATGGAGTTGCAAGGTCTATGGCGTGAAATTGATTTCTACCAATCGAATCCTATGGAATGTTCTGTTGATATACAGCACTATAACCGGATCATCCAAGAAGACCGTGTGTATGTTTTTCTGGATGGTCTTGATGATTGGCTAGACAATATACATGCTGATGTTTTACAGATAAAACCATTTCCTACGATTGAACAAGCATATGTGCATGTTAGATGGGAGGCTATTCGACAACAAATTATGACAACCCATGACACCGATTGGCTCCAGGGGGCTATCTTGGCCTCGAAAGGTCTCACATTAAGCATCTCTGCCCATGATAAATCTGCCAAGAACCGAAATTCCGCTAATGGAAAAAAATGCTCTCATTGTGGCAACCAAAAACACACACTTGAAAACTGTTTTAAGTTGCATGGGTACCCTGATTGGTGGCATGATCTTCAAGCCCGTAAGCGTCCTCAGGATGGCACCGACACTAGTGGAAGTTCAGGCACAGCTGCTGTTGCTAGTGCAGAGCCTCATCTCCCTCTTATACAATCAGCTATAATGTCCACAGATACTCCTCCCAACTTGAACTCAAGTATCTTTGGTCTTGCTCTTTTTACCTCTCATAGAGATGCGGATTGTAGTGCATGGCTTCTCGACTCGGGGGCCACATACCATATGTCATGCAGGTACAATCATCCACAAAAATAACAAACCAACGAAAACTAGACATATTGGCACCAAAACACAAAGATGAAGTTTTTAATGCCCTTGAAACATTTCATGCTATGGTGGGTACTCAATACGGTGCCACCATGAAGGTTCTCCACTTTGATAATGGTGGTGAATATGTCCATAAGCATCTTCAAACTTATTTTTCCCAACATGGTTTAATTCATGAAACTTCATTCTCACAAACACCCCAACAGAACGGTGTCGCCGAGAGGAAGAATAGACATCTTCTAGAGATTACCCATGCTCTGCTTCTTGGTGCCAATATGCCTAAATGTTTTTGGACCGATGTCGTCTCATCCGCCCTCCATATTCTTAATCGAATGCCATCCAAGGTTTTTTCATTTAAAACACAACTTCAATCTCTTTCTAATCATGTGTCCCTACCTACAGCACTGATGCTTCCTCCTCGTATCTTTGGGTGTGTCGCCTATGTGTATCTCCACAAAAACCAGCGCAGTAAACTTGATCCATGTGCACGTCGGTGTGTGTTTTTGGGCTATGGTATCCATCAAGAAGGGTACCGTTGCTATGATCCTACTAGCCGGAAACTTTATGTGACTATGGACTTTCAATTCTTAGAGACTGATATGTTTTTTTCATCTTCGGCACCTCCTTCTCCTCTTCAGGGGGAGATACATAATGAAGAGTTGAATTGGTCCCAACATGAGAAGCCAAATGAATGTGATTGGTTCATACTTGAGGGGCCATGTGAGCATGAGGAGCAAAATCAGAGTAAGAAGCAACACGAGCATGATGGGCCAAATGATAACTCAGGTGGTGTGAACCATGCAACAGAGATATTTTCGAATACAGAGCATGCAACATCTAAAATCGAGCCTATATTCCCCTCATCTGAAGTGCGAGCTGAATCATCTCCTGAGAATAATCTTGAGGTAAGTACTATCATTATACTTTTACATACCGATGACATAAATGCTTCTGTGGGATATGTTTTACCTCCCAGGGACAATCGCGACAAGCCACCTAATAGATATTCTCCAAATATTGAAAAACGAAGGTCGAGGTATCCAATTGCTAATTATGTATCCACCAAGGAACTCTCTGAACCTCTTAAGAAATTTGCACAGGAACTCTCCACATGTCAGATTCCTACTAGTGTTCATGAGGCATTGGCAAATCCAAGATGGACCTAAGCTATAGAGGAAGAAATGAAGGCACTACTAAAAAATGATACATGGACTCTTGTTCCATTACTTGAAGGAAAACGGACCGTAGGATGCAAATGGGTGTTCTCCATTAAACACAAAGCAGATGGATCTATTGAGCGGTACAAAGCAAGACTGGTAGCAAAAGGATATACACAGACATATGGGGTTGATTGTCAAGAGACTTTCTCACCTATAGCCAAGTTGAATACAGTTAGAGTGTTATTGTCTCTTGTAGCAAATCTTGATTGGCCTTTGCATCAATTTGATGTGAAAAACGCTTTTCTCAATGGTGACCTCCAAGAAGAGGTGCATATGAATGTTCCTCCAGGTTATACAGCATTTTCAAATAATGTAGTAGTAAGTGTGTAAATTGCAGCGAGCATTGTACGAAATAAAGCAATCACCATGAGCATGGTTTGGAAGGTTTAGCTTGGCAATGAAGAAATATGGCTTCCAACAAAGTAACTCGGATCACACTTTATTCTTGAAGCACCAGTTGGGTAAGGTAACTACTTTGATAGTCTATGTAGATGACATGATTATTACAGGAGATGTTGAGGAAGAAATCTCTCTGCTTCAAAAGTAATTAGCAACTGAATTTGAGATGAAAAATCTAGGAGGACTCAAGTATTTCTTGGGAATTGAAGTTGCTAGGTCTAAGCAAGGTATATTTCTCTCTCAACGGAAATACATATTAGACTTGCTAACCGAAGTAGGGATGTTAGAGTGTAGACCTGCAGATACCCCCATGGTTCAAAATCACAAACTTGGAGAATACCCAGACCAAGTACCAACAGATAAAGGTAGATACCAAAGGTTAGTTGGTAAACTCATTTATGTCTCCTATACTCGTCTAGATATTACATACGTTGTGAGTGTTGTAAGTCAGTTTATGCATAATCCAAGTCAAAGCCATATGGAAGCAGTTATTCAAATACTTAGATACTTGAAGTCATCTCCAGGCAAGGGACTTATGTTCTCAAAACATAACAGTAAGTTGATGATTCATGGATATACAGATGCAGATTGGGCAGGTAATATCAGTAATAGAAAGTCCACCTCAGGATATTTTACATTTGTGGGAGGGAATCTTGTAACCTAAAGAAGCAAGAAGCAAAAAGTGGTAGCTTTGTCAAGTGCTGAAGATGAGTTTAGGGGAATGGCTAAAGGTGTGTGTGAACTCCTTTGGCTAAGAAAGCTACTTACTGAAATCGAGTTTGCCCCTAATTCTGAGGTGGACCTCTTGTGTGACAATAAAGCTGCAATTGCAATTTCCCATAATCCCATTCAACATGATCGTACTAAACATGTGGAGGTAGATCAACACTTCATCAAGGAAAATTTTGAAGCAAAAACAATTAGGTTTCCATTTGTGAAATCCGAAGATCAATTGGCGGATATCCTTACAAAAATTGTATCGAGCAAGGACCTCTACAACTCAATTGACAAGTTGAGCATGCGTGACTTCTATGCATCAACTTAAGGGGGAATGTTGGCATGAGCTGTTATTGTAAACAATTAAGAGAGATTTTAGGCATTTGAAATATGTAACATCCCATAAATGAGGGTGGTTAGCGTGAGTCTATGAGACAGATTTGTATAACATATATTTGTTTAGATTTTATTCTTTGAAATGTATATAACCTATGGAAAAACATATGAGGAATAATATGAAAGACAGAATTTTTGACATTTTATTAGTTAAACAATAATTTCAATTTGCTTATGTACTAGAAAGTAGAAACAAAACCTCATCTGGTATAAAAAAGGCAGCGATTCTTTTATCTTTAATGATATCGTTTTTTTTATATTGATTTCCCAAGACCATGAGATCCTACCCTTTTTTTGTAATTGATCGCGAGTGTTCAAATCAGTTTATATGCACCTCAACTAATCCCTCGAGATCCTAAAACTACCGACCGGATAAAAACTTCAGTGACTACACTTATTAACAACCAAAAAAAGACTCAAACTCAAAACATTTTTAGTAATATACCCAAGAGTCACTAATAGTCTTTATTAGTGAGAGAATAACAATTAGATTACTGAAACAAGTTATTTTTTTTTTCTTTTAGCTCAAATAGTTGTAAAAGGAGATTTTGAATCCTTTATAAGAGAACATCTGGGTGGACAATAACTCTTTTTTTTTTTTTTTAATCCACTAGCATACTTCAATCGTCTCGAATCTTAAAAAAGCTATGAAAATGTTCTGGTTATATTGCTTCACAGTTAAAATTTTATTTTTAGGTGGTAAAAGTCATAAATCCAACAAACAATCAAAAGAAGTTAGAACTGGTATGGGATTCTGCAGCAATCCCAACTCTTTCAGAGTTTAGCAGAATTTTTGCTCAAACGTTTATACATATGAACTTATGCTTTGTAAGTAAGTCCACCAGTATGATATAAAATGAAAAGGGTGATATTCTAAATAGTCCAATATCCAGCAATGACAATACTAACACCAAAAAACTTAAAGGATAATAGTAAATACTGAGACAATCACCTGGCCACTAATGCAAATAACCTACCAAAGTTCATTTTGTCACTTGACATGCTTCGTAAACCAGTTTAACATGTCTTCATGCGCCTCTTCTGCGCTCTTCACAGCAGATTCATCTTCAACATTGTACCTAACCGACCATCCATGTGAGACACTAGGGAATACTTTAACCAAGCAATCAAGCTGCAAGCAACAATCATATATACAAAATGTAAGGTTGGTGCAAAGCAGATGTTGGAAAACACACTATCGCGGTTGCTAGAGAGAGAAGAATCTCTTATGTCCTTCGAACTCTTTGGGAAAATTGGTTTTTCCGTCTACTGTTGAACGATAATTTTTTCCACATTAACGGCAAGCTCAACAGATGCATGAGGAAACCAATTAAATTTTGCAATAGCTTGTATCGGAGATTTGGAAGCAACATACTTCATAGCCTAAATTTTTAGATTTTGATCTCTTACCTCAGATTTTGAAGACAATATCTCTCCAAAATGTTTCACTTGTTCTGGTGGAGTAGCATGATCAATTTCAGCTCCCAAAATAGCAACCGGAACCCTAACCTCTGAAACAAGTTTTGATTTGTCAATTACAAATACTTAAGAGTTAGCTAGGGAAGTGTTAAACTTACCATTGATCTCGTTATCCGTGATCAGACCAGGATGCAGCAGAACGGCAGCCTGAATGTCATAAGAATTTGCCAATTGCACAGCCACCTTCCCTAATTCAGATGCAAGTGATGAAATTTCAGTGTCTAAATTAATTAGTCTAAATGTTCAAAATTTCAAGCTATGGAGCCATATGGCTCCTTGAAATGATAAAAGAGAATGAAGAAAGCTTACCTCCCCAGCAAAAACCTGCTGCCCCTATGGCAAACACACCTTTACTTTTGAGAGCAGCAATAACTGGTTTTGCATCTTCATATCCTTTGTCCTACAAAGGAATTATTCAAATTAAGTTGAGTGCAGTTCAACAAAAGGTTATTGGATCAATTGTTGATTTGCAAAGTCTAATTCACCATTTATTAGCATTCATAGTAGATTAGCCAGAGAGGACTTTACTGTTGTACAAGTAAAAGATGATGACAACTCTAGGCCCAGCACAGAGGTTGACGTGGATTGTTTCAAATAATTCAAAGGTAAAAAAATAAATTTGAAGTGGATCCATTCCACATTTCTACATGACCTTTTAAATAAGTTCAACTCTCATGTTGAAAATTTAAACTATATCAAGTCTTTCTTTCTTTCTTTCATTTTTTTTTTTTTTTTTCACTCTTGAGTATATTGTATATATTTGCTTCTCAAAATTACTTGTTACAATGAGTTCAATCAGAAGAAATGAGTATATCCTATGATAATCTTGTTGACCTCCCAATTATTAGGATGGTGGCTAAATTGCTATCTAATGCACATGATTGTAACAATATTCAAAAGAAGTTTTGAAATCAGCAAGGTCTTGAGTTTGAGTTGTACTAAGGGATGGCCAATTATCATACTTAATTTTTTTTTTTTAAAAAAAAATGGATAGCATTATACGTTTATCATTTGTCAATTTCAACACTGCATCCTCCATTCGCTTCAGTGAAGCAAGAAACTAACCGTGTTATGAGCTTTCATCCATGCATCTCGATCAAATTGAGGGTTGCTCAGATCAACAGGGTCACCATAAAAGAAATCAGGAGCCACGACTAAGAATCCAGCTGCTGCAACTTTGTCTGCAAGTATACAAATATTAGATCTGCTAAAATTCAAATCACCTAAAAAATATACATCAACAATTGTTTAAAGACTTATATCCAAAAGAAATCATATCAAATGCATAGTTTGAGTATCTACAGTCTCTAGGACATGATTCAATGGCATTTGGTCGTTACTTCCTTAGTTGAACTTGAAAAGCAAGTTCAAAGCATGAGAGAAACATTCTTCCTTTTTCAAACATTCAAACTAAATATATTATTTTGCCACAAAGCTCAACAATGACCATTAAATATCATGATCATTCTCTTCAATTTACATCACCAATTAGAAGTAAAAAAGAGATAGTTCACATGAAATTTACGACAAAGTATAACTTAGGTATAATAGACTATCAAGGTTCAACTTTTCATGTCCCTAAGTAACATTAGGGGAAAATTCTCAACATGATACAATCAACAATTCAGCATCACCATACTATACATAATGCAAACGTGTTTCTTTCTTTTCCCTTTCTCACACGCATGCTAAAAACTTGTTATGCTAAATAAGAAACAGTAATGGCATCAAAAACATTATAGTGTATCATTCAACAAAGATATGAGATTCATGGATGGGATGCATTTTCCATCCCTTGCCAAAATGATACAAATTAAGCTATTCAGTTGTGCCAATTGGTGCTGTAACACAAATACTTTCAATAACTGATCTTATAAATGGCAAAATCTGTAGCAAAATAAATATTAAAAGTCAATTTCCAACAAGGTGTATTACTAGTTAGTTCGATGTAAATCGACTAATGTAACAAATGTTCATATAAGAACCGACCAAGTTTAGATTCCATACCATATAAAAGAAAAACTCGGTTTCTTCCTCACAAGATTAATAATATATTCAAATTAACATCAATAATTGTAACAAATAATTATTGCATTCTAAACTTATTGACAAAGTTGAAGCTTAAGAATGAATTAACACAGAAGCTAAGTCAATCAGCAATAATCGTACCTAAAAAGGGGTGCTTCATAGCCTGCAAAATATTCAAGAACAAAAGTATATATCACATAATATTAACTCAAAGAAAGGGTACCCATTTACCAAAAAATGGGAACCCCACTTCAAAAAAAAAAAAAAAAAAAACCATGTATGATCCGCAAAGCTAATATAAATCAATGAAAGATTGAAGAGATGGGTTGTTACCGAAAACATCAGAAATGAGAAGAATAGCGAGCTTAGAATCCGAAGGGCCAGTGACATAAGTGTTGAGACCACCAAATACTTGGACAGTCCCTTCTCCACAAATGGGTGTGAGGGTTGGTGGGTTCTCAAGGCACTGAGAGCTTGCCATGTTTCTTGTTCTTAACTCAACTTTTCCAGTTTCAAGAAAAGTGAAGGGAATCAATTAATGTTTTATAGGGAGAGAAATACAATGATCGAAACAACGTCATTTCTTTCGTCAACGTGGTCGGTCGCCTTGACACTTCTTCCCTTGTTGGTCAATCAATTTGCGGCTTTGACAGACACTCAGCCATTTTCACAATGTATTATATTATATGTGCCTTCTTAGTTGGATTTATTATATTTATTCAGAAACAGTTCTTAGAGAGCGAGTTTATTTAGAATAAAGATGGGATCAAGAAAGACTATTCTTTGTACGATGATTGGCAATATTTTTTTGGAAAAATATTGCGGACATCGACGCTTTACACCAAATTTTTACATCGAACGATGTGTCTACTAAATCAGACATGCCACGTATCACGTTAACAAATATTCCACGAATGAACGGTAGTCCATCAAATATAGACAACCGTCTATTGTTGTTGGACGGTCGTTCATTTGAAATAGATTGTCGTCCATATTATATGGACGGCCGTCTATCTAGAATGAACGTTCGTTCATAATTTAAACTAAAAAAATTTGGCCTAAATTGTTTATAGACGACCGTCCATAGTTATGGACAGTCGTCCTCATAAAAGGACGGGAGTCCATCTTTTAATATTAACAAATTTTAAATTTATTTAATGTATTAATTGTGAATCCTAATTGAGTTAGGGCCTTATTCTTATGACACTTGTTCAATTACTTTGAATATAGACAAAAATTTAATGAAGATTGTGAATCTTAATTGAGTTAGTGCCTTATTTTTATGACACTTGTCCAATTACTTTGAATATAGACAAAAATTAAATGAAGATAGCGACATTTACTTTTTGGATTGAGACTCAAATTGGTGGAAAATTTTTTAAATCAAACAATGGACAAGCGTCCATCTAAAAGGGACGTTTGTCCATAATTTTTGTTTTAAATTTTTTTTTATTTTAAACAATGGACGGGCGTCCATTCTAGGTGAACGTCCATCCATTGTTATTTTCTCGTGGACAGACGTCCATTATAGGTGAACGGTCATCTAATAATCACGAACGCCCATTATTTTACTTTTAAAAATTTTTGGACGAGCGTCCATCTTATATGGACGCCCATCCATAGTAAATGGACACTCGTCCATATAATATGAACGAGGCTCCATTAAATATGGGCGAGCATCCATAAATGTTGGATGGCCGTTCATTCACGAAAGACTCCAGCGTGGTCGCGTCTGACTGGTTGCCATGTCTTTCGGTACAAAAATTTGGTGTAAAATTTTGGTGTCCGTAACATTACTCATATTTTTGTTGGGTTTTGCTCCTATCCACCTAATCAATCTAAACTAGAGCCAACGACTGCACGGCACGAAAAAAGCACAGTACGATAAGATATGACACATAAAAAAGCATGACACGATATAGCAAGAAAATATGCAGGTCGTGCCGTGAGCCTTAAAAAAGGCACGTGGGCTGACACGACATGGCATGAAAATAATAAAAATTAAAAAAAAAAATTATAAGAATTTAGAAATTAATGAAAATGAAGATGTATAATAATTCTTAATCCCAATTTCTAAGTTTGTATTTGTAATTTATAATTATAAGTAATAAAAAGTGTTGAAATTCAATTAATATTTCAACGTCTCATTATTTTATTATATTTTATAGTAATCATATATTTTTTTAATTAATATAAATACAAAATGTCACTAAGTATAACATATAAAATATCTTTATAATATTTATTAATAATAAATCAAAATTACCATAATTTATAAATATTAAAATTAAATATTTTTACAGAGCACGTGGGTCGGCCAATGGCACGGCACGACAGGGCACGAATTTTTGCTGGCCTTGGCATGGCCCACAGCAAGATGGGCTTTGAATTTTTAGGCACGGTACAGCCCACCACCGCCTCTAGCCTGAACCTATATTCTAAAAATGGTGTTAGAGTAAATGACATGTCCCCACCCAAGGTTTAGTGAAAACCGAAGTTACCACCCATCGTCTCATAAATTTCATATTCCCACCCTTAAATTAACATAAAAAACATTTAATTTAACGAACAAAGGGTAAAACAGTCATTTATACTATAATAAATCTAAAATTAAAATTTTAAAACAACCCTTCATATCTTAAATTTCTCCCGCAAGCACCCTCTCTCTAACATTTCTCTCATGGCGACCAGACTTGGCCTTTGCGTGTATGGCCACAAATCCAACCGCTACAAGGCCCTCATGTGGCAAACAAAATTTGGCCACTACGAGGGCCAAGAAGCAGCAACCAAATAGCTGCTTCTTGGCTCACACGGTGACCAGATTTTGGCTACCACGCATGTGGTGGGTTGTGTGCGCTTTGGAGCAGCGCACAAGGGGAGATGTTCTTGGATGTTGGTTGGGGCAAAGGGTCAAGCAGGTTGGGGGGGCGTGGTCAAAGGTAGATGGTTTTTGTGGCTGGCGACAAGAAAACGACCAGAAAAAACAAAACAAAATCAACAACAACAAGAAACGCTTTCATAAACAATCAATTTCCCTTCAACCAAGCTTCAAAACCAACTCTAATTGAAAACTCAATTTCAACTATTGACAAGTTGTTAGGGAAGTTGTAACGCGCCACTTGAGGTATGTAGTGTAATTGCGTTGTATTACTTGAATGTTTACTGATTTGTTCTCATTTGGGTTGGTTTGTTGTTATTATGGTTTGGTTGGCCCTTGGTTGAATGGAAGTATTGGTTTGGTTGAGTGGTTGCCCTGAAATCATAAAGACTTGGTGAAATTTTGGTGTTACGGGCTTCGCCGGGGCGAAGAAGAAGCTTCGCCGCGGCGATGAGGTGCTACAACCCACGGGTAGGTTCTATAAGTTTTCGCTAGGGTGAAGAAGAAGCTTCGCCGCGGCGAAGGGCTTGACAAAATGTTTATTAAGTTTCTAGAGAATTCTTCCTTTGGGGCACAATGACCATTCTACTCTAATTAGCAGGAAAAGTGGGGAGTGAAATGCAAGGAAATTGCATAGAGAATAGTTTAAATGGGGGTGCATTTGCAAAGAATGAAAAGGGCAAAGGTGGAATTTCTAAGAAAGAGTAAGGGTAAAATGGGAAAGAAGGTGTAAAATATGAGTAAATAAGGGTTAAGTCTTAGAAACCCTTTCATTCTTCTTCTTCCACCGCCATACTCATTCACCATTTTCTCTCTACTTTCCATCCAATCCTTCAAGGATTTTAAAGGGCTTTTGAGTAGTTTTTGGGTAGAGAGGTGATTTAAGGCATCCTAAGGTAAGGACCTTTATTCTAGATGTGAAATTTAGCTATAAAGGTGTAAAAGTCTTATTGTGTTATTGTTTAAAAGTGTAGAGAAAAGACATCTCCCAAAGGAAAAGAGAAGTGCTAGTGGAATCACACCATCACAAAATAAGTAAATCCAACTCAAGCCAAAGTTTAAGAAATCCTTGAGTAGAGATTTCTTTATGCATGTATTGTTGAGAAATTGAGTAGAAATATATGTTTGTTTGTTGAGAAATTGAGTTGAGATGAGTATTTATGTTGTGGTGTTGGATATGCTCTCTTTATGGGAAGTGTTAATGTGTGATGAATTGAGATGAATTTGGAGGAGATTGAGTAAATATTTGGGAGTGTTCTTCTATGATAGAAGTTATGTCCATAGAAAGGAATTTCTTCCCATTTTGGATGTTTACAAAGAGAAAGAGAATTATAGTTAGAGAAGAGTTTTTGTATGCATATGAGTTGTTTGATGAAATGCTTAAAAGAAGTTTGAGAATGAGTTATGAACCTTAATTCTTGCAACATTGCATATTGGCATTTCATAAATGCATTAATGAGCATGAACCATCCATATGCATTAATTGTACATTAAGAAGTAGCTTAAGAAAGAGTAGAGAATTTCTACACTATGAGTATTAGCTTGAGAAAGAGTAGAGATCCTTGTGCTTAAACTACTCTAAGAGCTAAAGAAGAGAAGAGTAGGTTGTGCGATGGGGAACCTGTGAGTGATGAATTAAGTCACGAGAGTGGGTGCTTCGTGATCCCCAACTGTGCCTCCGATCAAATGAGGCCGTGACCGTCACGTAGAGTGGAACATGAGGTTCCAGCCGTGCCTCCGGTAAGAAGGGGTCGTGACATTTGAGAGATAGGGAGAAAGCATGTACACTCATATGGCCAAGGGTTCCGAATCCATGCATAACCAAATCTGATCGGTACAGAAATGAGTAGATGTCACGTAGAGCGGAAGAGTTCCCAGCCGTGCCTCCGGTAAGATGAGGCCGTGACATTCCCATGAGTAGAATGGGAAAACAGAGAAATAGAAAGAACAGAAAGAGAAAATGAGTAGAGTCACGAAGAGTGTGTTAGTCCCCAGCTATGCCTCCGATAAGATGAGGCTATGACATACACCAGAAAGTGTATAGAAAAGAGTATGAGAAACAGAAACAGAAAGAGAACAAAAATGAGAAAAGAAAAGTGTAAGGAAAGAATTAAGAGAAAGAGTTACAGAGATAGACGAATAGAGGATTTACTTACTGAGCATTATTTTGCTCACCCCGTTGTTTTTCTATGCTTTTGCAGGTTCCAGGTGAGGACGCAGTCAGATGGATGTCGGCAGGTGAGGAGGAGTAGTTACACTGTCCACCATACTTTTGTGAACTTTTGTAAAGGATACCGATTTTTGTAAAAGAATATGTATATTAAATAAAAGAAAAATTTGGGCCCAACTATTTTATTAATGTACTCGTATTTTATTATACGTATTTGTATGAGTATAGTAATATCAAGCAGTTGTTACAGAAGTGGTGGATGAGAACCAACTAGCAATCACAGCTTGGGGTGGTAGCGGTTTTAGAGAGAGGATGCCAGTGGATCAAAAGGTGGCGTTAGGGTAGGTTTTCATTGTCAGAATCGGGCTAATTTGGTCAGAAAATGGCGATTGCAAGGTGGAGGAGGTCACAAGTGGCGTCGCAAATCCAATGCAATTAGGCCAAATTTTGGTCAAAAAGGGGTTGGGGGAGTTCGAACGATGCTAGGGGAGTGATTCCTGCCGGGTTTGGTGGATTTTTCGACGAGGAAGCAACCAAAACGGCCGTCAGAATTTACAAATCCAT